GAGCTTGGCCTTCATAATTCCATTCCATCACAGAAGCCACCATAAGTGATATTCAGGAGATACTCTGATCTGTAGTGGAGAATGCTATGACATTGGATTTTTTTTCCCCCCAGAAAAGACCTTTCTTTCCACTGCCTTGTTTTCTAGTCTTAGGACAATGTACTTTGCTGTTCATTCAGCTATTTATGTTCCTTGAAATTTCAGTGCAAACTCCTTTTCTTTTATGAAATATGTCTTGAAATCATCCTGTTGGTACCATTTCTGTGTCTTTCTTCTCTGCCTTTCCTTTGATCACATTCAATTTTACAGGCCAGATAATATTGATAAAATTATTTTATTTTGGTGTTTTGCAAAGTACCTGGCTGTTGTTGTTAAACTAAGTGATAATAAATACTGATTCAGATCTAGATAAGAATTCAGCCAGTGGTTTTTGCAGATACCAAGTTTCAAGAAAACTGATTCACCTGGTACAGGATTTACCCAAACGTAACCTGACCCTAATATACACAGATCCATCAGGAACACTGAGAATTCTACCAAAGGAGGACGAAATTATGTAGAGATACAACACAAGCTGTCATTACCCAGATATAGAGTTTAACAGATGAAGCATAAAATGCAAAGTATCATGTCATTCCAAAGCTTTCTGTCAGTTTGGCAGTCAGGAAACAACCTCACCATCTACCTTGTATTGTCTTTTCAGGTTTTGCAGCGACTGATCAAGTCAAGAGGAAAATCACAGAGCAAACATTTAAATGTCCAGTTGGTTGCAGCAGATAAACTTGCACAGTGTCCGCCAGTAAGTTCAGGACTGCATTTTTAATATGCTGCATAAATTTAGATATAGCAGAATCTTTCATATTAATGTAACACTGCTTTATTTCCCAAACCCCCTTTTATAGGAGAAGAGAGCTATAACTAGCAGCTGATTGAATCCTAAATGGATTCAAAAATAGGTCACAAATCTCAGCAAAGAAGCTTTCATCTTTCCATCTACAGCCAGAAATCATGGCCACAGTATGCTGTGATGTGTAGGATTATAGTAGCAAGTACACTTACTGTTCTTTTCTTTGACAGCCCACTTCTTTTCCACCCATAGCACCAGAGACGTGTGCGCTGGTAAAAAGGAAGCCCTTTGTGAGGTCCAGTGTATTACATTTTCCTCACTAAGTAATTTTCCATGGTTTCTGCATTTCGTATAATGAAAGGAAAGGCAAGACGAGTGCCTGATGTTCAAACAATATTATTAGTAACTAGACTAAAGATAGAAAGCAAGGAAATCTTAATTATGTTTCTTATATTATACTGTGTGATTTGGTGAACATACATGAAACTGTTTGAATGTGATGAAATCTGAATTATCAATGCAGAGAGAGACAGATGAAAAGTAAGGTTGTTTCATACACACACACACACACACACACAAATGTATACATTTATTTAAAAAAAACAGCAGATATGTGTGCCAGGAGTAAGCAACAAGGTAGGTGTCCATGGAAACGATGGGTATCTGCATCTTTGTCTTGTAGTTTTATTGACAAGAGGATTGAAGGCTGACATTGCTCAGGAACTCAGATGTATTGGTTCTCTGTCCAGTGTTACTGCAGTCAAGAAAACATTTTGCTCCAGAAAAAGCGGCCAAGCTAGAATCTTCGGCAGCTGCTGAGACCAAAAATCAGTCCTTCAAGACAATAGAGAGTTTTTAAAGAGACTTATTTTCAGAGTTATGCTTCCTTCATTGTTTTGATGAAGGGCAGCTTTTCCTAAAACAGTGGGACTATATGCAAATAACCATCTGATTAAGCAACATTGATACCATGATTAACTAAGAATTGAGAGCACACTGGGGAAAATTGTCCAGATCAGGTGCACTCCATCTCCAAGAAAAATCTATTAACCAGAATATCACCTGGAAACCTTTGGTGGTATTGTTTATCCACATATTGATAACTGCCTATATACTGTAGAATGGCTTTTGCCAAGCAGAATTAGTAATTAATTATCAGGTTTAGTAAATAAGATCATCCCTGAGGGTTTTGTTTTGTTTTTTTAATAAGTGATGGCTTTGTCCTGCCACATCTTGAGTGCAGACTCAAAGCCCTTTCTTTTCTGTTCCTTGCGTCTAGACCACTTCTCTTTCTGGCTTCCTCCCTTGCCCAGATTCCCATCATGTTTAGGGTTCTTTAGCGTCATCTGATGTGTACTTGGTGTCCAAGAGCATTCCTTTTCATCCTTGCTTAGCACTGTCCCTATTTTGGGGCTAACTCCCCTCCCTTCCTTTGCAGTGTCAGGGTCTTTGCTTCTGGTCTTGAACCATCTAGTTGCTTCCTTTTCCTAGAGAGAACCATTTGCCTTGCGTATGCCTGGCACCTCTAGAGTCCAAAAGTTGCCTTTTGGTGCTTAGTGAATGGCTATATGCAAACCTTTTTAGTGTTTAGTGGGTGGCTGCATTCAATGTATTGCTAGTTTTGAGGGAATGATTTGATGATCAAGCAGGGAATTTAAAGTATATTTGGAAACCACTGAATGGTATGAGCAGAACAATTTAGCCACCTTCCAATCTACTTTTATGCCAGATTATTGCCCCTTTGAGATCTCTCCTAATGGATAAGTCTCTCTTGTTCTCCTTATTGCATCATGAAGCTTTTCACTAGACTGTACCTGGAGATATCATCCAGCAGGCTGTTCCTGTACTACACTGTTCTCAAATATTTCTAAATAGCTTGAACTCTTTTGATTTTCAAATTCCTACCTAGACACTGGAAATCTGGAGGATAGCTTGGGCCCCAGCATTTTTCCAATAGTTTATGATTCATCTGAAAATGAAGCATTTTGCATTACCCTTATTCAGGGAAACCTAATTATAATAGTGTATACGCCTTTTTTCTCTTTCCCTGTTCAACCAGTTTATTCCAAATTCCATAGTCCAGCATTTTCAGCAGCACCAAATGTTTCTGTAATGTCTGCCTATTCCATGAGATCTTGCATACTGACTTTCCCAGTTGTCACTGTCTGTACACTGACTTCACCCTTGCTGTATTAAAACAATACATAGATCTTGGTGCTGTTTGATAAGCACAGACATTTTGTATAGTTTGCACATCTGTAATAGAACAAAATCTAATTTTTGAATCTGAATGGTTCTCTAAGCTAAACATTCCCCATTTTAATCAATAGTTATTAACAGTTATTTTTTGAGGGATAGTTTCCTGTACACATACCAACTCCATTGAGAACTTTGGTTTTTGAATCCATCTATACAATACATTATACATCAAAATTCTTTCTGTATATCTGGCAAGTGTCTGTATATATATGAACAGAGGATATGTAGTAACATAGAGCAAGAGTTTTAATTCTTCATTAATTTACATTGCATTGTAAACCTAGATCCTGAAATAAATTCTCAGAATATTAATAATTAAGAACCTTTATCAGTTCCAAATCCTTATGAATTTTTCATAGTGACAGCACATGCTGATGCTAAGATCAGCTCTTATTACACAAATGCTGTTAGCATCAGCATTTACTACACAGGATGTCCTAATGTAGGAGCTAGGTAAAGAAAGGGTTTTTAAAAATGGCATAACCTTGTTGTCATACCCTAAATGTCCTTATTCTTTTATCTTGCATATTATAAAGGATATTAGCCCTTATTTTAAAACAGCTATTGCAAGACTTAATTCCTTATTTCCATTGCAAACATTTCCTTTCAGTCTTCTAGCTGTTACTAGAAGATTATTAATTTGGCTGTGCAAGTTTTTGCTCAAGTACAAATGGAAGACTTCTATCTGAGAAATGTGACAGTATATCAGGGATGAAGTTATAGCAGACTTCCATAATTGGGTACTCTCCAAATGTTTGGGGACTACAACTTTCATAGTTTGCTGTCAGTGAGACATTTGGGCCAGGAGTTGTAGTCCCCACACATCTGGAGAAAACCAGATGGGGAAAGGTGTGTTATGCTATAAGAATCCAGGTGAATAAGACAATAAAGAATCTGGCATATAAAGCTAATCCACAGAAATTGGAAATGTTTTCTGTGGATTGCATAATACAGATTTCATTCAATACTTTTCAGTTAGGTTTGAAACAGCCCTTCTGTGAGCAGAAGATGCTTTATCCTTGGATCCAAGCTTCTTTCTTTGACAGAACCACATGTAGTTATTTGGACTGTTGCTTTAAGAAATTATGGGCAACTGGCCTGCCACATTGGACTTCCAAAGCCCCGAGACTGTGCCAGGAAAAGAAATAGAAACCTCCAAAACCCAAAGGAGGAGGAAAATAAAGCATTTACTTAATGCAGTGTTGTCCAAACTTGGCCACTTTAAGATGAGTGGACTTCAACTCCCAGAATTC